TTTAAGGAGAACAGCTTTTTTTTTTTTTTGAATATATTAATGTTGTAAATAATTGAAATAGGAAATTTTAGACTTTAATGTAACAGTGACACCCTGTGGTCAGTAGTGATGGAGTTGGCGTTGTTTACTTCTGTGATGCCCTTTAGCAAGAGCAGTGAGAAAAAAAGAAGCAAAATAAGAAATGCAGCTGGTTTGTAGCATTTTCACAAAAAGACATGTTCCATTTTACTGCTTTAAGTGTTAAAATATTTACTCAGTTCAGTTACTAATACAGCTCATTTACTAAAATACTACTTGTTTGTATGACTTTGTCTTACTAAAATAAAGTGGGATGGCAAACCTTGATTTTAGGTAGCTTGGTGATGTAACTCCTGGAAGAGTTACACCTTACAAAGCCACACACTTTGGTGTTTGCTGGAAGAGTTATTTATATTTCTGTGGCAATCAGTATCTCTCCAGAAGAGATGCCAGGCAATGGGCACCAGACTGATGCCATTGAGACCCATGATATCACAGTGCCACAGTGTGTCAGGAGTGCACGGCAGGGCTACAAGATGGGACAGTTTGAAGTATTAGTCCTGTGGCAGCTTCTGTGTGGGCAGTCTTCGACTTCATGTGTGCTGCTCGTCCTTGCAGTTCTTCCTCTCTTTCCGCCTTGTGCAAATGCTGAGCTAATATAGTAGTAGATGGTTATATCTAAATGTACTTATTGTTAAGGCACTGTGGTTGTGAACTTCACAATGCTTTGGGCCCTCCAGGTCCTGGGATAAGAGACCTATTCCTACTTTTGTTTATAAACGGTAGCATACTTGGGATACCGCTTCTTATCTAGACACCCTGGATACTTCATAAGTGCAAATGATAAAAAAAAAAAAAAAAAATTCAAAATATAGGTTTCAAAACCTAATAGCTTTAAAAACATCCTAACTTATATGAAACTTAGTTTTCCCATTTATAGGAAAAGCTGACCATTTGTGAGAGAGAGACAAAGTTACCTTTCTGTCAGATGAAACAAGGCTTGAGATGAATAAATAAGCAGTTTGATGGTCCCAACAAGAAGTAAAGCAGACTGAGAAACATGAAGCATTTATTATTCACTGGCAGTAATGGTTTCCTGTTAAAACTGGCTATCTGACAAGAAGTGATTAATTCAATTCCGTGCTCTCTCATTGGGGAGCTAGAAAGTTAACGTGGGACAGCGGCAAAAAGTCTTCTGCTTTCTCCAGAGAGTAAGCTAAAGGCAGCCAAAGCTAAAGTTTGGAAGATGTTCAGGAACTGCTATCAGGGATTTAGTGATTATCAAACCTCCACCAGTGTCAGAAGAGATTGGAGCACTTAAACTGTCCTGGAAGCCCAGCCAGCGTTCACCCACACACATCTCCATGCATTAGTGCTCTGCGAGTGCTCTTCTTGGACACGTCCTATGGAATAGCTGCAGTGCAAATTCTCATGGATCGCAGCACAATTTAGTGCCTGCCAGAAAGTGACAACGAGACTGTGGGCTTTTTAAGGATATCATATTGACAGTGAACGTTTTGTGAGCTCAGGTTGCTGAAAGGCTTGCAACTCATTATCTCCTCTCAAAGCCTGACAAGTATTGTACATGTAATGGAGTATGAGGCCTTGTTTTACACTCTACCTTGATTTTTAGCTCTTCTTTTAGAGCCCATTATGTTTTTCAAGGGCTGTAAAAGCAAAGAGCTTCATAGCTGCTCAAACTTGCAAGGAAGTTATTTATTAGGTGTGACCACAGACTCTGTGCTGGGACAAGCTAGGCTGTAATATTAACCTCAAAATTAGTAATGCTGCTGAAGGATGTTTTCAAACATCTGTTTTACACGCTATAAGAATAAAGTTCAGAGCATGAATTATTTCATGGCTTTTTGAACGGGGCCACACTGGAGATGAGCTGCAGTGATTTCGCACGTAAATCAGAAAACGCACCGTGTTCACATGTCACTGAAAGAAGTGCCTCATGCATGAAGCACCTGAGCCTGCTGCCAAATTAGCCATTTATTGGACCCGACACCTTAGCAGAAGCATTTAAAGAGAACTTTTAAGTACAATATCTTAAAAGTAAAGAGACATACACTCATTACATACTAAGAGCACTATTTTGGAAACATATTATGTTTGGAGGTTAGTCTGAGCTGCTGTATATAACAACAGGAATGTTAAGACCTTATCTGCAACCAACTGAATGTTAAAATGGCAAATCCATCCTAATGCAGATAAATGATAGAGGCATAACACATTACAGTCTGCTTCTGGGAGGCAATGAAGTGTCTCATAATAGCATGAAAGCAGCTGCACAGCGGACGTTCCACATGTAAGCATGTGAACAGGCTTTCTCATCTTTGCTTAGCGAGAACAGGCAGACATAGTGGCCACAGACTGACAGTCATTGCCTGTCACCTGCTGGTTACTTCTCCCATTGCTTAGCCAGCAGAAGACTTTGCTTTAGAGCTCTTGCAACCACATAGGGAAAATTGACTGAGCTTGTTCCAGCTTCCAATGAAGGTTGTTAGAATTAACTCAAATGAGGCTCTTTGCTTCGGCAAAGGCATGTACTTCATGTTACTTTTATGTTGCTTACACTGTTGTGAGACCCAGCATAGCACCAGGTATGTATGGACACTTTCAGCAGGTACTAACAATTAATATGTACCTCCGTATTATGAGATTTCTATTCCAAATTCTCCCTAGCTTTCAGCTGGCATACTTTTATACCTGTTTTAAGAAGCCAGTTTAATTGTTGTCAAATACCACTTTCAGTTGCTATTTTCCCCATTTTTGCATAAAAGCAAGTGTTTCATGAGGTAATTCACTAGCATTTTATAAAGTGACTGCTGTTGATATTCTTTGCTAGTTTGACAACTGTGCCTCTCTGCATATTATTTATCTTTAACTTTTATTTCCACTCATGAAAATGAGTACAGGAAGGAGACTACTCCCTGTTTAGCAGTTAGGTCATAACCTGCCAGCTGCAGGGAAGTTCCATGAAGGACATGGAACTTCTATGTTTTCTTCTTCGAAACACTCCTTTCTGATGGAAATTCCCATTTCTGATGGAAGTCTGAAAATCAGATTGAGAGAGCAGACCTGACAGTGGGATGCAGGCTCATATCATACTGGCCCATCTACATGTTACCTCTCTACTTTTTTGCCAAATCTTTTGCTGTAGCTAGTCTTTTCAGTACAAAGCCTTAGGTATGATTCCACAGAGACACTTGCAAGCCTGGCAGCTGCCATTTTGAGCTTGAAGCAATGACTTCCGAAATAGACGCATGACTCTTAGCAGCTAGGGCAAAAGAGACAGAATTTCTAGCTGAAAGCTATCATAAACTCGTATCCTCTCTGCATTGGACACAAATGTGTTGCATAACACATTTTCTGACCAGTGGTTTACACAAACAAAGTGTGTGACAAGTGACTGAAATGTGGAACGTACTTTGGTGATTCACTCCATAATTCACAGATTAGTGTACTTTCAAGTACAATATCCCTGCTTAAAGAGCCCCCAGTGCTGTCCTGCCCATCACGGTTAGGCAATTTGTGTCCTTTGAAGTCTTCATTAGAGGCTGAGAGCAGCTACCTACCTCAGGGTAACTTTCCCTGTTCTAGAGTAGGGCCTGGGACAACCCTCCTTCGAATTACTGTTACCCTCCAGGACCACTGGAACTTTAAATACCCTCTGAGACTAGTGGTAAGACTACAGAAAGCACTGTTAAAACAAGGAGCAATACAGCAAAGCCTTAGGGAAGATTATTTCAGAACTAAAAACAAACAAACAAAAAAACCCTACATATAAAGTGAGATTGAGAGGTATATTATATCTGGAAAGGGAACTTGGCAATTGCAACATGCAGCGCAGAGTCTTTTGACTACCATGCCAGCTAGTTGTTTTCATGGCTGTGAGAAAGAAACTCAGGCTCCTAGTCAAACATACGGGAACAGTTAGGTTCTTCTAGAACAGGAATCAGCTTGCTCTACAGTGAGGGCTCTAAACCAATTTGCTGATCGGTTATTTTTCCAAGCCTTAATTTAAATGAGCAAGCTTAGCACTGTACGTGAAGAAGTCCCTTTAAAATATTAAAAGTGAAGATTAGAATCTGTGTCCATAGAGAACTTCCATGATATCCAAGCTATCCAGTTATTCTAAGCACATTCCAGACTGGAGCCTTTGGCTGCTTCTCCGAGACTGTGTTAGGGTGGGAAGTTTATTTCTGGGGGACTGTTTCCTCTAGACTGGTGTCTACTAAAAACAATGGGTGAGACTCACCATTATAAAGTTTGTTAAAGCTTTATTTTTGGTTAATTTGAACTCATAAACTCTTGAACAGATGTGACAAAACATATTTTTCTTTAAACTGCAGTGCTGAATTTAGGTGAAAATACCTTACAGTCTTCCTCGAAAGCTAAGGCAAAATAAGTTCCACAAAATTATTTACATACTGTTTTCATCATCCCTAATAAGTGGGAAATGCAAAGAAAATCAGAAGAGAGAAAATGCTAAGAGGAACATCCTTCCTGGAAGAGCCATTAATATAAAACACATTTTAGAGGATAGATAACCCCAGATCTTTTGGAGACACAGTGAGATGATAATATTAAGACTTTCAGCTTACAAATGCTTTTATATATGCTTAAAGTTACACATTTGAATACATCGATTGTGTTTGGTTGTATATAAGCCATTGCAGAATTAGATGTAGATGCACAGAGAGAAAATATAAAACTATGTTTGACTAAAAAAGCCTTATCTGCCAAAATCACATGAAATGGGCCATTGGCTCTCTGTTCCATATTCTGTGTTTGAAGAGTCTTACCTTATGAACATGTCAGAACAGATATTTTCATAGGGAATTTTCAATAAGGAATATGTCCACTTGTGGAGAAATATATGTTTTATCTATGTTAGCTAGCATAGTCTAATGTTTATGAATAATTATAAATAATAATCTGTGCTGATGTTTCATATTTTTGCTATTATTTTCCAGATGGGAGTTGCTGTTGTGGATTCATCTGTTGCAGGACTGGGCGGTTGTCCCTATGCAAAAGGTGCAACTGGAAATGTGGCCACAGAGGATGTGATATACATGCTTAATGGTTTGGGAATCAGTACAGTAAGTAATATTTTAAACTGTTTGAAACTTTAAGAGGAAAAAAAATTCTACAAAAAATAATATTCATACCTGACAGTCACTTGTGTAGATGAAGATGTTGAGAGAAAGTGGTAGTTTTGCCAGCTCAGTGGTTTAACGTTTCTCAATATATAATATGATTAATGTTTTCTACGCTAGCAATAGTCAGAACTAGTTTGGCTTTTTGACAGACTTTGAATTAACCCTCACTCTCTGTAGGCAGAGATTAGACAAACAGCAACAATTGCTTTGAGTCGATTCACTGCATCAATCACCACAAAAAAAAAATCACTAGTGTAGACTTTGTTCCAAAAGACTAATAGTATCTTCTGTGGAAAGACAAAGGAGAACTCTGCTTGAACAAAGGGGATCACAGAGCTTCGGATTTCATTCACAGTCCTTGTTACATTTTTTTCTGTCTTCAAAGTAGGAAAAAAATAGCAATATTTGGAGCCAAAGCACAGGACAGTGCTATTTGTCGTTTACTCACTTAATACCTTTCAATAGTGTACAAAATCCTAGAACAGCGGTGGCTGACTTTTGTAAGCGTCCAAGTCATTTTTATCTCCATCCCTATTCTTAGCGGAGCAGTCAAGGTAACTCATCTGCGTGGGCTGCACTTATGGAACCTTAGCAGTAAGCCTCCTCCTTTCAGCATCACACATCTGGTATCCCTGCCTAGGTT